CTGACTTCCATGCTTAAAAGGAATAAGCACAGAGCCATCCTTTCGTAGGGAAAAGAGAACCAGTAAACAAAGGAAAAGATGGCGTTATTGAAGGGAGCTCCAAGGGAGCTGCCACGAGCCCTTGGGCCTCCAGCCTCAGCAGGAAGGTAAATACAGTGGGCTGATTAAGCAGTGGCCTCCTCTGCCGTGGCCCCAACCATGCTTAGAAAGCAACCAGCTGGCTGTGTGGCACACACATACCACCCCACCCGCGCGCTGTGTGGGGTCCTGGATGCAGCCCGTTAAGGGAAGAAAGAAGCCATCTTGCACGTCAGGGCTGTCCCCGGGGGTGGGGACAACTGAACGCCTGTCCCGGCAGAATGGGAGGGTCTACTCCTGAAAAGAGGCCAAGGACAAAGAAAGTCATCTTCCAACATCTAGAGTTCTGTGTAGGAAAGTTTTAACTTAACCTACCTGACCCCAAAAAAGGAGAACAACGTCCAAGTGTGTGGGAGATTTTGGAAGACAAGTTCTGATACAATAGGCGGGAGATCTTTCCAGCAATCTGTGACATCCAACAACGGACTGTGCTCACCTGACCTAGGAAGCATTTGTGTGTGACTATCTGGGACAGATGTCTGCGGGGAATTTAAGCGTGGTGCTATTCTGATGTCGCCTGAGGTCCTTTCCATCCGATGTTCTGGGTCAAGCGGATCTCTTGCCACCATGGCTGGCCACAGGACCCGATGCCTAACCAGCTGGCAGCGATGCACATGGGCAGCAGGGAATTGCAGAAGACCCCGGCAAGTGCAAGATAGGGTGGGGGGACAAGGAGGAGGGGAACAGGGAGAAGCGAGGGACGGAGTGAGGAAGGTCTCGTGAATCACCATGGACCAGTGTGAACCACACAGGGTAGTCCCGTGTGTTCCTGCACATCAGCTCTCCGACTTGGGTACAGTAGTCAGTTCACGAGTTAGGAGCCTTCCCCGGTGACACAGATGCCCTGAGGCAAGGCCGGACCACGGTCTATGTGGCCCCGCCCCTCCTGGCCCCACCTGGCCTCCCGCCGTTATCCCTGTGAGTCACAGAGAGAAAACAAAACATGCATCACCGTGAGATAGTCTGTCTTCAGTCATCCTTGTCTCGAGTGGACTTCAACTTACCCGAGGGGCAGCACTGACCCAGGGCCACGTCTTGCTTTTTCACTGTATCAGACATCTAGTGTTAAAGCCATCCTGCACGACACAAGACCAGAGACCCTCCTCTCCCTTGCTGATGGGTCACCTGGCTCTGCCCTGTCGTCCTTCAAGGACCCAATGCCTGGCTTGTTGCCGAGTAGGGGTCTAACCGCCCACCTGAACCAGTCCCTGTCCTCCCGTGGGGAGAGCTGGGAAAGTTAGTGTAGACACAACCAGCCTTCCTCCGTGCCTCCAGAAGTTAGCAGCCTGGGGACAATAATTATTTACATTGCAAAAGAACCTGATAACAGATAGAGAAATAGTGCCGATATTAATTGTAATAATCATCAGATTATGTGGATTAAATGATCATTCACCATAGGATCGGATTAGCCCCTTATCATACTTGTGAGTATATAAGCAACCCCCCAACACCACGGGAAGTGATAAGTGCACAAGAGACCAGATTCAAATTGTAAATTCTGAGTTCGCTCTATCTTGGGTCCCGCATCTCCCTCTGTGGTTTCTCTCGTCCAGTGTCTCGGCTGTCTGTGGCTTTGCTGTGGAGTCTGGTCTGTCACCTGCCAAGGGTGGGTGTTACAGCAGCCGTGCTGTGGGCTTTGTGCCTGTGCTCCTAGCCCGTGGGAAAGTGTGGACGACAGGCAACCAGTTGCTGTAAGTGATCTGAGGTCTTACCTTCTCCTTATCTGATTGTTTAAGTAATTCATGGTGCATTTCAACATCATTTCTCCTTGGCAAACAACACTCATCTTGCTTCTCACCTGGTGCCCTCTTGTTCCCGGTATGAAGATCTGGTGTCCTAGTAAGAGGCAGTCAGGACCACCTCTGGGTTCTTGGGACTGGAGTCAAGATTCACGACCTCGGTCACTTTTTAAGGAGCCCACTCTCACAGCATTTCTGGTGAATGACGGGAGGCAGGGGAAGCGAGGGACACCCTCACCTCCGGTTCTGACCCATCCTTACTGGCTAGCTGACCCTGAGGAAGTCCCTAAACTGCTCTGATCCTCGGCATCCCCGTCTGTGAAAAAGAAGCATTCACATCCACCACACAGGGGTGTTGTTCAGATGACAGGAGAGAAGTCGTACGAACACAGCCCCTCGAGGGCTACCTGGAGCAGATCCCGTGCAGACAACATCCCTTCCATTCCTTCCTCCACTCCGTGCCATGCTCTCGGTCCCAGGCTGCGGCGCCCTGTAAGTCCACCTCCGGTTTCTGTCATCGGCACCTGGGAGAAGAGGCTGGAGGGGGAGGGCGCGGGGCTAAGACCAAAGCCACAGCTGGCCATGTTTGACTCTGAGGAGAAACCACAGACCACCTGAGTCTCTTCACGTCGGCCTCAGCAGTGGTGCAGGTCTCTACCGTGTGACGAGTGTCCCCTCAAAGAGGAAGAAGTCCTCATTCTGGTCATCTGGAGAGGAGAACGAGGTCCAGTGGGTAGAGGTTGGACAGGGACAGGCACCAGAATTACTAAGATGGCACCTTTCCGTAACTAGAAATTTCAGGCAGCGAAGCTGGCAGCCTCCGAGGTTGAGGATCTTGTTGAGGGATCCACACATTTGTCTGAGGCTGGTCTAGGTGACAGCTGGTCCCTGCCAGTTGTTCCCAACTCGGGAATAATGTCCAAGGTGCTCAGCACACTTGTTCAGATGACTAAATCACCCTGCAGAATTGCAGACAGCAACTCTGGAAGGGAGGCTACATCACGTGGCGTTCGGACATTCTTCCAAGACCATTTGGAGAGACGGAAATGATTTGAAGTCAGTAAGATACCGACCAAAACACATGAAAGAGGAACGAGATGTCCACAGGGCTCATAAAAAAAAGTTTTGACTTATTCCTGGGAATCTAGAGAGAGCAGGCTTTTGCTGGGGCTCAGGGTGCCTGCCTCTATTGGTATTTTTGGCTGGCGGGCTTCTCCAGCACCCAGTCTGGCTTACGTGAAGTGGAAAGAAAACCCAGAAGAAAACTCACCCACCGTATCTCTGGGCCTGGATGTCCCAAGCCAGTCTGACTCTATTTCCACTGTTCGGTCTCTTAGAATTGTTTTATAAACACTATCCAGGGGCCTTAGTTGTACTGAGTGGGAAGAAAAAAGTACATCTACTCCATATTTCCTGGAAGCAAAAGTTGAAAGTATATTTTTCTTGTTCGACACTATCTCATCTTTTTGCTGGTTGGCATTACTTATCTGACCTTGATTTTATGAACGACTTTTCATTTGTATTTGAAAACTCTCTCCATCTCAGGAGCTCCTGAGGCATGAACTGGAATGTGTCTCAGATTCGTGGGCCCACAGCCTCGTCTCTCATAAATGCTTCCCAGCACCCACGGTGGCTGCAGAATGAGCCACAGCTTTCCAGGAGGTGAGACCCCCGTTTGCCACCGCCTACCTCTGGCCTCGGATAGCCACGATGCAACCACAAATGTAATCCATTTCTCGTTGGGTTTTTTTGTTTTGTTTTGTTTTCTATTGACTAGTCAGTGGGGATAATTGCGATGGGCTTTGTCATTATAACTTTAATGCCCGAAATTCTCCCCCAAACTCTTGGTCCCGCAGGGTCTGAACCCACTCACGCGGCCAAGGGCAAACTGAGGAGGACAGCGGTAGGGACCCGCCCGGCCTGATGCACCCCTGCACCAAGCAGAGCACCCCTGTGAGCCAACACAGGTGCAGCAGAGGCTGATAGGGTCCCAACAGGCACCTGCTTCTTGCTTTTTCAAGAAAACAAGAAGCTCAAAACTGCAGGAGAGAGGAGGATCCTCATGAGCCACTACTTTTAGGACCATTATCATACCCACTGACTAGTCAACAGAAGAAAAGGAAGAAAGAAAGCGAGATTAAATTTCTGGTGTTTTCATATGCAGATATATCAACAGGCCACCTTCTCCATGGGGCAGCTTCACGCTGTAGGAAGGATCCTTTTGCACACCAGGAAAGACGGACTGACTGTTTGTCTGGTGTTTGGATGCGCCCAACACCAACCTAAAGAGGCATCCTTGACCGCGGGCAGAAATCTCTCGGACGAAAGAAGAAAAATAAAAACATTCCTGCCTGCCTGCATTTACACGTGACCTGTATGTGTGGTGAACATTTTATTCTTTCCCCACAAACGGGTCAAGGGAAGGACACTTCAGGGTTGAAACACAAGAATGCCAGGTTGGCATTCTTTGAAAAGCAGAATTATAAAATCTGGGGGGCTGGGGGAAATCAAAACAAGCATGTATCCCCAGTGCGCTCGCTGTTGTTTGTAGACTGAGGCCGGTGGTAGAAACTGCAAACCGCTCTGAATCCAGACAAGAGCTCTGACCCAATACCATGATTCACATCCCACTGGCGAGCAAAGCCAAATGCGTGTGCGTTCTCTGTAGCACCTTAGAGAGGAGGTTGGCTGCGTGGGTGAGATACGAATATATTAATTTCCCGGACGCTTAGCCTACCGGGGAAAGATTAACAGGCCCGTGATACGTGAACGCTCTCCGATTTCTCCCTGGGTGATACAGAGGAGGGCTTGTTTGTGGGGTTGGGGTGAGGTAAGGCAAGCTCTTGGGGAGTGATCTTACCACACACACAACATCTGGCCCTGTTTCTTGCTCAGGGCACCTCGGGAGAGCGGCAGGACACGTGTCCGCTGGAGGAGGGCACAGTTGGAAATTAGCCTGACCAAGTAAAAGTCTGGATCAAAGGTTGGTCTCATTCTAAAGTAAACTCCCTCCAACCCTCTGACTTTTGGATAAGAGTTGAACTGAGCCGGCCACGGCCTCACTCGGGGCCACTCGCACCAGCCCGGGGAAGAGCATCAGGACTCCTGCCTCCGATAATAATGCCAACTGTGGATGACATCCTAGAGCACATAGGGGAATTTAACTTCTTCCAGAAGCAGACGTTCTTTCTCTTAGCTCTGCTCTCGGCCGCGTTCACCCCCATCTACGTGGGCATCGTCTTCCTGGCCTTCACCCCGGATCACCGCTGCCTGAGCCCCGGGGTGGCCGAGCTGAGCCGGAGATGCGGCTGGAGCCTGGCAGAGGAGCTGAACTACACAGCGCCGGGCCCGGGGGCCGCGGGCGAGGCGTCCCCTCACCAGTGCCGCCGCTACGAGGTGGACTGGAACCAGAGCGCCCTCAGCTGCGCGGACCCCCTGGCCGGCCTGGCGGCCAACAGGAGCCACCTGCCGCTGGGCCCCTGTCGGCACGGCTGGGTGTACGATACGCCCGGCTCGTCCATCGTGACCGAGGTGAGTGAGTGCAGGACTCAGGGCAGGCGAGAGCCAATACACTGGCTTTTCTTAAGGGAGAAGCCAGTAAGGCCTGGTTCTTACGCTGTCTGGACGTGATTTGGGGGCTCAAAGGATCTTGTAAAATCCTCATTTCCGACAAGAACATGGAGCCTCTTATTTGTCTGGAGGATGAGTGAATTAGTTAAAACTTCAAATTCTGGCAATAATGATTCCAGTTTATGTAAGTTTCAGGGGTAAGAAACAAGGAAAAGCATAGCCGAATTCTTGGACATAATTCCAGGAAAAGGAAAATTTTTAAGCCTCTTTTTTCTGGAGCCTGAAAGTTCATGGAACTCACCTGAACGGTGCCTTACCATGATAGGATACATTTTTCTCTTGATAGCTGCTTTTTTCTCTTGGATTTGCTCAAAATGTTTGCATAAAAACCATCTGGGGTTGACGTTTCTGCTATGGCACTATTGT